CATTAGGCAATGGGCACTTGAGTTGCTTCCATATCTTGGCTATTTTAAGTAATGCTGCTACAAACATGAGGATGCATGTATCCCTTTAAATTAGTGTTTTTGTATTCTTTGGGTAATTATCCAGTCATGTAATTACTAGACCTTAAGGTAGTTCTAATTTAACTTTAAGGAACCTCCATACTATTTTCCATGGTGGCTGTACTGGCAACAGTGCAAGAAGGTTCCTTCTTTCCTTTTTCTCCACATCCTCATCAACACCTGATATTTCTTGTGGGAGGTCAGGTGATTAATGATGTTTTAGCTCAGCTTCATCCAACAGTGTGGAACACCAAAACCATGTTGGGTTATTTTCCCATGTCCAGAATTCCAATTGGAACAGACCCATTCAGTGACTAGCAGAATTCCCACACTGGGTCCCAGACCTGTGGAATGAGGGCTAGTATGGGAGGAAACGAAAGCGGAAACCACAAGAACTGTCTTTACCTAGCAAAATGAAAACCAAAAGCAATGTTGCATTCCTAAAAGTACTGCAGAAATTTGTGCCATGATTAAGGACATGGAGCAAGCAAGGGTGGTGATTCTCCCCATTCAACTCGCCCATGCACAATACATATGGATCTTGGATAACAAAGTGGATTATCACAAACTTAACCGAAACATGACTCCAGTTGCAACTGCTGTACCAGATAGGATTTCATTGCTGCAGCAAATTGATAAGTACATCCCTGTTGCTTTGTATGCAGCTATTGATCTGGTAAATGCTTTTTTTTCTCAATATCTATTAGAAAAGACCACCAGAAGCAGTTTGCTTTAATCTGGCAAAGCCAACAATATAACTTCAATGTCTTACCTCAGGGATATGATAACTATCCAGCCCTATGTCATAATAGTCCACGTGAACCATGATTGCCTTTCCCTTCCACAAGACCAAGTGGTACATTACATTGACATTAGGTTGACTAGACCTAGGGGTGAGAAGGAGTAACTACCCTAGACATTTGCATGTCAGAGGGTAGGAAAAATATCCAAAAATCGGGGGCCTTCTACCTCAGTAAAATTTCTTAGGGGTTCAGTAGCATGGGGCATGTCATGATATCTCTTCCAAAGTGGAGAATAAGTTTTTGCATCTGGTCCCTCTTACAACCTAAAAAGAGGCACAACACCTGTAGGACTCTCTGGATTTCAGACACATGCCCATTTGGGTCATTTGGGACCCATTTAAAGAGTAACTTAAAATCTACTATTTTTGAGTGGGGCCTAGACAAGAAAAGGGTTTGGAATAGATCCAGGCTGCTGTGCCAGCTGCTATGCCACTTAGGCCATGTGATCCAGGAGATCCAGTGTGCTTGAGGAGTCCGTGGCTGATAGAGATGCTGTTTGGAGCCTTTGGCAGCCTTTAGAGGTGAATCACAGTGCAGAATCTTAGGATTTTAAAGCAAAGCTACACCTTCCACTGAGGACAGGTTCTCATTTTGAGAAACAGCTTTTGGCCTGGACTAGGCCTTAGTAGAAACTGAACATCTAATCATGGGCCACCAAGTTAGCATGCACTTGATATTATCTGACCCATCAAGCCAGAAAGTTAGACACTCCATCAGGAGATTTCTTAGGGCATCTAAAAGGAAAACTATTTATTTCTCTATACGTACTTCTGACACCAAATGTATGGATTTTCCACACAAAGCAATTCTGACACTAACTACCCACGGTGCAGACCCCACAGGTTAAAGCTCAGTCACCCAAGACCTTCTCCCCTCCACTTCAGATGCCAGTTTTAAGTCTCAGGTTATCCTCTGTAATTTTGACCAACTGAATATAAGTCAAGGATTCCCAAAACACCTTCCTCCGCTTTGATAATTTGCTAGATAATTTGCTCACAAATGTTGTTTTTTTTTTTTTTAAGGATTTTATTTATTTATTCATGAGAGACACACAGAGAGAGAGACAGGCAGAGGGAGAAGCAGGCTCCATGCAGGGCTCCCCACATGGGACTCCATCCCCGGTCCCCAGGATCATGTCTGGGCTGAAGGGGGCGCTAAACCACTGAGCCACCAGGGGCTGCCCTGCTCACAAAAGTTAAGAAAACAAGTCACTTACCATTGCTGGTTTGGTATAAGGGAAACAATTCTGAAACAGTCCAATGGAAGAGATGCGTAGGGCAAGGTTGGATGCAGGGCTGGGGAGTGCACTACCTCCCCAGTATCTCAATGTATTCATCTACCCAGAAGCTCTCCAAACTCTATTGTGTAAGGTTTTTTGGAGTGCCCATTATATTGGCATTATTAAGTCATTGGCCATCAGTGATTATCTCAATCTCAACCCCCCCCCTTCCCAAAGGTTGAGGGGTAGTGCCCAAACTTCTAACCCTCTAATCACATGGTTGGTTCCTCTGGTAACCAGCCCCCATTCTCCAGGAGTCACACGTCCTTAGCATAAACTGAGTATGCTCATGTTATGCTGAATTATAAACTGTTTCAAAGGGGCTTATTATGAACAAAAAAGATGCTCCTCTCTTATCACTCAGGAAATTACAAAGGTCTTAGCATCTCTGTATCAGGAATCAGAAATAAAACCCAAAACATATATTTCTTATTATTTCACAGTATCACAGTGTCTCTAAGTCTCACCAATCCCTGTGACTGAGTGAATGGAAAACTGTAACATCCCAATTCAGATGAGAATACTAATGGCCCAAACCCTTCAGAAATGACCATTTCATTTATCCACCTGATAAAGAGCTACAACAAGCTGCTGAGGGTAAAAGCATAGGGAACATGTTGCAGAAGTTAGTTATAAATGCCAGCTACAATCAGTAACAAGTTGCAGAAATATATCTTCTTTATTTTGTTATCAACGTTTGTGTGTAGGTATATAGGAGTGTATACGTGTATGTGTATGTATATTTATCTTTGTTTTCCTCTCTCTCTTATGCCCTTAGCATGCAACATAAGATACATTAATTTATGGTCTCATTCATTTGGGGAATATAAATAATAGTGAAAGGGAATAGAAGGGGAGGGAGGAGAAATGGGTAGGAAATATCAGGAAGGGAGACAGAACATGAGAGACTCCTAACTCTGGGAAACGAAGTAGGGGTGGTGGAAAGGGAGGAGGGCGGGGGCGTGGGGGTGAATGGGTGATGGGCACATAGGGGGGCACTTGATGGGATGAGCACTGGGTGTTATTCTGTATGTTGGCAAATTGAACACCAATAAAAAAATTAATAAATTCATTATTAAAAAAAGATTTTACTTATTTATTCATGAGAGACACAGGGAGAGAGAGGCAGAGACACAGGCAGAGGGTGAAGCAGGCACAACGCAGCGAGCCTGATGTGGGACTCTGAGATCATGCCCTGAACCTAAGGCAGACACTCAACCACTGAACCACTCAGGCGTCCCTAAAGATTTATTTTAAAAATAAATTTAACTTGGAGCACCTGGGTGGTTCAACCAATTAAGCCTCTGAATCTTTTTTTTTTTTAATTTTATTTATTTATTCATGAGAGCTACAGAGAGAGAGGCAGAGACACATGCAGGGTCCATGCAGGGAGCCGACGTCAGGCCCTGGGCCAAAGACGGCGCTAAACCACTGAGCCACCAGGGCTGCCAGAGCCTCTGACTCTTGATCTCAGCTCAGGTCTTCCTCTGTAGTTGATGAGTTCAAGCCCTGCATGGGAGTGAAGTCTACTTCTAAACAAAAAGTTTTTTTTTTTTTTAAAGATTTTATTTATTTGAGAGAGAGAGAGAGAGGGAGAGCACTGAGGGAGAGTGAGAGGAAGAAGCAGTCTCCAGTGAGCAGAAAGCCCTAAATGGGGCTCCATCCCAGGACCCTGAGATCATGACCTTAACAGAAGGCACACACTTAACCCTCTGAGCCATCCAAGCGCCCCCAAATAAGTGTTTCCTTTTTTTTTTTAAAGATTTTATTTATTTATTCATGAGAGACACACACACAGAGAGAGGCAGAGACACTGGCAGAGGGAGAAGCAGGCTCCATGCAGGGAGCCCGGACGTGGGACTCGATCCCGGATCTCCAGGATCACGCCCTGGGCCGAAGGCAGGCGCTCAACCGCTGAGCCATCAGGGCTGCCCTACATAAATGTTTCTTTACTTAAATTTTTATTTATTTGAAAGAGCGAGAATGCGCACACGCTCCTGGGGGGCAGGGGCAGAGAGACAATCCTAAGCAGACCCTGGGCTCAGGGGGAGCTGAGGTGGGGCTCAATATCAAGACATGAGTGAAAACGAAGAGTCCCACTGTGTTTAACCCATTATGCCACCCAGAAGCTCTCCCGCAAAAACCCTTTAAAAATAAAATAAAAAGAAATAAAACTTAATTCTACACCTAAGATGTGTTCACTACATTGCATATTAATGATACCTTAAAACAAAAACAAAACACTAGAAGAACTAAGGAGGGGATGGGTTAAAACGGAATAGAAGTAAAATAGAACAAATCTGTTGGTTCATTGATTTGGCTGTTCTGAGTAGAAAATTCTTTAAGTTGGTTCTGCAGGAGAGCTAAGAACACTCCAGCCCAGGCAGTTACGGAAGGAGGAGCCTGCTTCCTTCCTCAACAACCTTTTCTCGCCTCGGAGACGGAGTCAGAAAACGCGCAGGAGGTTTAAACTTCACTCGCGGGGCAGCGCGGTGGCCCAGCGGTTTAGCGCCGCCTACAGCCCGGGGCGTGATTCTGGAGACCAGGGATCGAGTCCCACGTCGGGCTCTGTGCATGGAGCCTGCTTCGCCCTCTGCCTGGGTCTGTGCCTCTCTCTGTGTCCCTATGGATAAATAAATAAAATCTTAAAAAAAAAAAAAAACGCACTTGCCTGCGCACATCTCGAGCCCCGGAGCCTAACCTTCGGGCGGCGGGGGCGCCCCGCGGAGCCCCCGCCCCGCCTGCACGGCCCGCACCGCCCCGAAGTTTGCCCCGCGCCTGCCGGGACCCCAGCTCCGCCCTCGGCGCCCCGCCCCGCCCCGCCCCTGGCCCTGCGCCCTTCCCGGTCCTCCCGCCACGCCGGGTGCGCCCAGCTCCGCCGCCACCCGGCTCTCCTCGCGCTGTATCCGCCTAGGCCCGGTGGCGCGAACCCGGCGGGTCAGGTGCAGGGCGCCATGGCCGAGCCCGCCCCCGGCCCGGTCACGCAGCAGGTCAGCGGCCGCGCGGTCCCAGCCGCGGCCCCGAGCGGTCCCGAGCGCGGGCAGCCCCTGTCCGCCGCGGTGGCCGAGCTACCGGTGCTGGACGCCTCCGGGAGGCGGGTGCCGTTCGGCGCGCTGTTCCGGGAGCGTCGGGCTGTGGTGGTGTTCGTGCGGGTGAGCGCAGGGCCGGGCCGAGGCTGCCCTCCAGCCGGGGCGGGGGGCCGTCGGGGCCTGCGGGAGCCGGGGCCGGGCGCCACCCCCTGCGGTTTCCTGGGGCTCCCAGGCGATCTGCGGCGGCGCTCGCGAGCTCCCGGAGGCCTGCGAGCAGTGCGCAGCCGAGGCCTCGCCGCGCAGAGGAGGCCCGGGGGAGTGGCTGCGCCCCGGTTCTAGGGCCCCCGGGCGCCCTCCACACCTTTTCTACCAGCCGGGAGGGGCGTTCGTTAGCGTCTCGCCGGATCGAGTGCTCGGGCTTTTCTGGAGCCCGAGGGCATCGGTCGCTAACTTGTCCTTTGTGCCGTGTTGGGATTTCAGCATTTCCTGTGTTACATTTGCAAGGAATACGTAGAAGATCTGGCCAAAATCCCCAAGAGTTTTTTACGGGTAAGTGTCCTGAGAGCCGCAGCGCGCCCTGCTTCGAAGTCATCTTACGAGAAGCGCGGTGGGGTGAGGTGCAGGCTACGACCCCTCCCCGCCGCGGGCCCTCGCAGCCTTCCCACACATCTCTCCAACACCTTCAGGAGAGAGAGGGAGACCTTCGAGGTCTTTTCTCTCCTCCTTTATTCGCTACTACCTGCTTCTTAACATACCAACCATAATAATTTTGATGTTAGTGACCTATTTGCAAATGTTGAATGATAATAACCAAAAGCGCAAATGCTGGAAATTATTGATATTTTATTCCCTTTATTTTTAAATAAGAGCACTCCAAATAGGGGCGCCTGGGTGGCTCAGTGGGTTGAGTCCAGCCTCCGCCCAGGCCATGATCCCAGGGTCCTGGGGTCCAGGCAAATCGGGCTCCTTGCTCAGTGGAGGAGCCTGTTTCCCAGCTAGTTCGCTCTGGGTCTCTCTCTCTCTCTCTCTCTCTCTCTCTCTCTCTCTAGCTCACTCTCTCAAAAAAAATACAACCTTAAAAAAAAAACCCACTCGCAATAGTTGTTTAGGAAAATACTAAAATATCTTAAAGGTTAAAATTTGTATTTGTTAGAATGTGCCTTCCACATTCCTGTGACAACCACATATAAATGTTATTTCTCAGGCACATATACATTTGTCCCCAGATGAGCTTTTGAGTGAAAGAATTGGACAACCTTGGTAAAACTAAGATCTGTTGTCATCAGGCCTTACTAATTGGGATGTGAAAAAATAAAACCTGTCTGATTAAGCCTACTTCAATAATTTTTATTCTTTTTTAGTGTATGCCTTTGGGTGGAGCATTGAGATTTTTTTTTGGAGATATTGACTATAATATCTTGAAGTTCTTAACAAGAGATCGACTGAATGAACATTTTGGCAGACATTGCTTTGCTTTGACTCACACAATTTTGCTGTTTATTCCATTCTTCTAGAAGCCTATAGGTGGCATTCGAATGGAACAGAAGAGTTGGATAAGGGGAGGTTTTATAAAATATATATAATTTCTGGTAATATGTACCTGCCCCTTTTTTCTCCTAAAGGAAGCAGATATCACCCTTATAGTAATTGGACAGTCATCCTACCATCATATTGAGGTAAATATATCAGAAATTGAGAAACTAACAAATCTGTTTCAGACATAAAAATTATTTTATTTGAACCGCTAACTGTAGATTGCATTGCTAAAATAAAGATAGGTTATCATTACTTTTCTCTCACTTTTATTTATACAAATTCCAAACATCTTTTTTTAGCCTTTCTGCAAACTGACTGGGTATTCTCATGAAATCTATGTTGATCCTGAGAGAGAAATTTATAAAAAATTGGGAATGAAAAGAGGTGAAGGAATTGCCTCCTCAGGTAAGACGTGAAACATCTCATCTCATCAATGCATTGATGGTGCATTTTCACACTTGTGCATAGGAAAACAAATGGTAAATTCACAAATCAGGCTGCTTTTTATGATTCTAGTAAGTGGGCCCAATACACCGGAGTCTCAAAGATTCGTTTCCTGGGTATAATGACATAGACAGCTGTTTGTGAAGTACTAAATGAGTGAAGAAAGCAAGTTGGAGAACAGTGTTTTCAGTATGATTCAATTTTTGTGGAAATAAAAAACATTTTCATAAAGATGGAGAGTACATATGTGTGTATGTGTCATGAGAAAGGTTTTAAAAGATACTGCCATGCTTACCCCAAAATATGGAAGTTAGAAAAGTGGCTTTTGTATTTTTAACAACGAGTACATTCTACTTCTGCCATTAAATGAAAAGTAATGTTGCTTGAGTTGTTATATTTTCTTAACACCATGGCTTTTAAAGCTGCATGTTTTTAACTGATGAAATCTTAGTTTTCATTTGAAGCCCACCTCCAAGCCGAAGCTGTTTCCCTCACTGAACTTGAATAGCACCTTGTACTGTGTCATATGGCCTATTAATGCACTTAAGGTGGCCAGATAGTAGTTAGTCGAAGTTTGAGATTTTGTCTTCACAAGGTCCACATTCCCTGCCTTTAACGCAGTTCTTTGTAATTAACAGAGCTTCATCAGCCTTAGGTGAACTATTTCTGTGTGTATTAGGTAGAAAGAATAGCTTCTGAAATGCCAGTTGAGAGAACTCACACTCAAATTCTTCCTCAGCAAATATTGTTGAGCTTTTGTCCTTAATCTCCACCTTGTGGATGCTCCCAGGAGGACAGTGATAAACAGACCCTACCATCCTGAAACTCATACTCTCTTCTGGGAGACAGAGGCAAACAGCTGATTACAATTTAAGGGCTTGTAATAGAGACCATGTACTGGGAATACCGATGCCAGAAATAGGAGGGGAGAGAAGAATCTGAGAAGGCTTCTCAGAGGAGGTGTCATCTAAGCCCTCTCTTAAAGGAGTTAGCTGGGTGAAGTGAGACTGGGGAAGGGTGTTGCTGGCGGAAAGTAGCACATGCAAAGGCAGATAGGGATGAAAAACTGTGACTCTTGGAGAAGTGGGGGTCCCTACGTCAGGCCAGAGTTTAGGAGCCAGTTTGGGAATTGGTGTGAGCCAAAGGACAGATTGTGGCTAATTCAGGCCGAGTCTGGGGTGACCTGCCAAGGAGCTTGGATTTGTTCTGGAGGCAGTGGGGGCACCATCAGGCATTTGAGGTGGAGAAGTGATAGTTATGTGTCCACTGTGGATGAGTAGTTGGAACTTGCCAGATCAGAGCAAGTAGTAGGGGGTAGTAATAGGCTGGAAAGAAATGACAGGGCAGGAAGTAGAGATGGAGAGGAGGGGATGGGTTGGGAACTGTCACGTCATAGAGTTGACATGATGCCTTTACTGATGTTTCTGAGAAAAGCAACCTAAACTTTATTAAAACTAACGATGAACTAGCATACACGTAGAGTGTACCAAGAGTGTTTCTCCTCAGTATAGGAAATGGCAATGTATAGATTGAGAGCCTTACTTACTGGCAGACTGTTTTCTGTGTTCTAACAGTCCCAGCGTAAGTTATCATTTAGCACTCCAGATCTAAACTGTGAGTTTCACCTTAGTAACACCTCACTGTTCATTGACACAATAAAAATACAGAATTGTAAAAATGGATTCTAAACAAAATATATGCTTATAATTATTAGAGAAGTTATATTCACATCTTTTAAAGTCCTGTGACCTGTGTTAAAGTGCTATATTTCCAACCAGGAGATAGTATTCTCTCATAAAATCATCTTTTAGGGGATCCCTGGGTGGCTTAGCAGTTTGGTGCCTGCCTTTGGCCCAGGATTGAGTCCCGCATCAGTCCCCTTGCATGGAGCCTGCTTCTCCCTCTGCCTGTGTCTCTGCCTCTCTCTAAGTGTGTCTATCATGAATAAATAAATAAAATCTTTTAAAAAATAATCTCTTAAAAGTTTCTCTCTGAATAAGCAGAAATCTCAGAATCAATCTGAGAATAGTCCTACTTAAAGATTAAGGAACTAAAATATATAATAACTTTAAATTAATGGAAATTTTATAAAGACAAAGAATAAGAAAATAAAGCCCTTAAATACCAGGGAGTAATGGGTTTGTAGAAGACTGAAAAACAGGAGTTTTGTACATAAGGACTAAATTTAACTGGGCAAAATTAGATTGTGTTTGAAGCAAAGATTGTTAAATTTTAGGTCATGGAATCTCCTTCAATTGAATTTCTAATATTTTGGAAATATTAAATGACCCCTTCTTAGGATATTTGGATTTTTAAATATTTTAGCTATAAAATCCTATGGAACAGGAAAATTTAGTCTTTTACTCAGGTCTCTAAACTATTGGGCCGTATTTGTTTCTTGGTAAGACGACTGTGCATCATCATGGAAATAGAAGACTCAGAGAGAGGAAAGAAAAAGATAGATATCTGGAAATACTTAAGGATTCAGTCAGGTCAAAGGCAACATAACCATCAAAACAAAAAGCCAGGAAAAAAAAGCATGACATAAAAGGCAGGGATAGGAGAAAGATAAATTATAAGAAAGGTAAAGAGACTGGTTCCCTTTGCTCAGAGGAAGAGAAAGTGCAGTATTAGTCACTGTGGGAAAGGAGTTAGAAAAGCTGGGAAGATGGAGAGGCAGCTGGACTATCTGTCGTTACAGACAACTCCCGAGGTCTTGGTAGCCGAGCCTGGGAGAGGCCATTTCCTTCTCTGTTCATTTCAAGATGGGTGTATCTATTGAGATGCCTTTCCTCCAAGCAGCAGGGACACAGGGGGAAGGGCCTCTCTCATCTCGTGGCTCTGGCATTTTCAACCCAAGGCCTCCAAGAATGTAGAAGGAACATGAAAGTTTTGAGGAGCTGACCAGGAAAAGACCCACATCATTTTACCCATGAGTTAGGACATAGTCACCTGGCTGCACCAAACTGCCAGGAAGACTGGAAATGCAGTTTAGCTGTGGGCCCAGAAAGAGGAAGTGGGTTTTGATGAGCCTATACCAGTCTGTGCCACAGTGTCTCTTGAAAAGGAGTGTAGACACATAGTAGTAGGTGAGAGATTAAACAGATAAGAAATGGGGTATGAAAAGGGAAAGTATTAAGGGCACCTGGCTGCTTCAGTCAGTAGAGCATGGGACTCTTGATCTTGGGGTTGAGAGTTTGAGCCCCGTGGTAGGTGTGGAGATTACTTAAAATTTGTATAAAAGAAAAAGTAGGGGGAAGCACTGCCAGTTTGAGGAGCCTACAGCTGACATTTTTCTGTGGCAGATGACTGGGATATCTCATCACTTCTTCCTTCAACATAGTAGTTCTCAATCAAGGGGACATTTGGTGTTATCTGCAGACATTTGTGGTTTGTCAGAACTTCAGTGAATGGTACTGTGGCATCTAGTGGATACACAGGCAGTGATGCTGCTCAGCAGCCTACATGGCACTGGACAAAGATGTGGTCAAGAATGTCAACAGTGAAAGGCTGAGAAACCTTTCTTTGAAGGAAGAAGACAAGTTGAAAGTAAGATAACACAAGAAAGAGAATATTTCAAGGGGGATGGGCAAAAATGGGTGAAAAGGGGAGGTACAGGCTTCCAGTGATGGAATGAAGAAATTATGGGGATGAAAGGTACAACATAGGGAACGTAGTCGACTAGTGGTATTGTACCAGTGTTGTGTGGTGACATATGGCAGCTACACTTGTGGGGAGCCTCACCCAACCATAGAGCTGTGCAATCACTACATCGTATGCTCAAAACTAATGTCCATTCTGTGTCAACTATGCTTCAAAACAAGAATGTTTTACAGGAGCACTACCATTATCTTCTGATATCTGATTGAACATAAAATGATAATATCTAAAGACACTTCCCAATATTTCAGGAAAGAGCCCTCACATAAAATCAAATATACTCTCAGGAAGCATTCGGAGCCTGTGCAGGGCAGTGACTGGCCCTCTGTTTGATTTTCAAGGAGACCCTGCTCAGCAAGGTGGAACCCTCATCCTAGGTCCAGGTAAGCAGCAAAGTCCAAAGCCAGCACTCTTTTTGTGCATTTCTTCATAAAATAGATACTATGTAAAAATAGCAATTTGACATTGTAACAGTCATGATTCTGTGCTTGTAGGGGTCACCTCTGTTTTCAAAGGCATCTGTGTATTTTTACTGGTTGTAATGTGCCCATCGTTCTGTGCCTGAATGATCTCAGGTATTTGGGATAGAAAAATCCGTAGTGGTTTGGTGAATTATATATGTCTATAAAACTATTTAAACAGTTCATGGATGGGGGCAGCCCTGGTGGCTCAGCGGTTTAGCCCCGCCTGCAGCTCGAGGTGTGATCCTGGAGACCCGGGATCGAGTCCCACGTCCCGCTCCCTGCATGGAGCCTGCTTCTCCCTCTGTCTGTGTCTCTGCCTCTCTCTCTCTCACTCTATGTGTGTCTCTATGAATAAATAAATAAAATCTTTAAAAAAAACAAACAGTTCATGAAAGTGGGGCGCCTGGGGGGCTCAGTAGGTTAGGCGTCAGATAATTGATTTCAGCTCAGGTCATGATTTCAAGGTTGTGGGATCAAGCCCTGCATGAGCTGTAATCAGCGGGGAGCGTGCTCGAGATTTTCTCTTTCTCTACCTCCCCCACTTCTCTACACTCGCATGCTTTGTCTCTAAAATAAATAAATCTTCAGGGATCCCTGGGTGGCGCAGCGGTTTGGCGCCTGCCTTTGGCCCAGGGCATGATCCTGGAGACCCGGGATCGAATCCCATATTGGGCTCCCGGTGCATGGAGTCTGCTTCTCCCTCTGCCTGTGTATCTGCCTCTCTCTCTCTCTCTCTCTCTGTGACTATCATAAAATAAAAATTAAAAAAAAAATAAATAAATCTTCAGATGCCTGGATGGCTCAGGGGTTGAGCATCTGCCTTTGGCTCAGGTCGTGATCCTGGGGTCCTGGGATCGAGTTCCACATCAGGCTCTGCACAGGGAGCTTGCTTCTCCCTCTGCCTGTGTCTCTGCCTCTCTCTCTCTCTCTCTCCGTCTCTCATGAATAAATAAATAAAATCTTTTTAAAAATTAATCTTAAAAAAAGTTCATGGAAGTGAACATTTTCACAGAGAGTAAACCATCAAGCCTTTCTTCTTCTTCTTCTTTTTTTTTTTTTTTTTTTGCTCAATAGCAGAAATCAGTCCAGTTACTTCTATCTAATAAGATTCCAAAACTTGCTCAGTGTCAGGGAACTCTGCTCCAGGGACAGCTCATTTGGTAACAATTACTATAAGCCACATAGTTTTAATAGCTTTATTGATCACTTTGGATCACCTGGAATTTCTTTGGCTACATGGTTGAGTGTTGGATCTCTACCATGATCAAGTATTGTAGTCAGGGACAGGCACTCACATATAACAGTGTGAATCACTAAATTGTGAATGCATTTTTCTGTTGTTCTTCCTCTTTAAAATTGTCCACATTAGTGAATGTAGCTTCTAGAAGTTAAAAAATTAACATTTACTTTAATAAACTCCACTTGTCTGAAGTCTTTAGAAGGAGGCTTTTGACCACACATTGTGGCTTTTGGGCTTTCTGCAGCTGGAGCACTGTGGCTAGCTAAAACCTGTAATTTTATCTATCCTTCTCTTGTGGATTTATACCAGTTAGACTAGAAAAAAAAAAAAAAGAGGCCCTGTTTTATGAAAATAAGTCCTCTAGATTAGCCCTGAATGACATTGAGCCATATTTTTGGATGGCTTGTTTCCATCTTCAGACCTATTTTGAGTCCCTAATCTCCATGTCTCAGCATCATTTAACCACATGTTCAGGTGTGTAAGTGACGAGCACACAGAGACCATCATTTGTGTGCCAAGTTGGGAACATAATAAGGAGAATATCTTGATACTGCCTGCTGGAAGAAACGTAGTTCCTCTAAGTAAAGAGCTGGGTATACATATTTATATAAACTTTTCATGGTTAAACCTATATTTCATTTTGCCTTATTTGATAATCAGCCAATTTATGATATTAAATTTATACTGATTACTATAAATACCACAAGTAAGTACAATGCAGAAAACATACCTCTTTTATGATATTTACTTAATTGTATGCTTTACATTAAAATTGTAGTCTTGAGTCCAAAAATTAAAGTAAAAAAGACCCTAGACCTATAAATTATGAATTTGTTATTTAAACAGATAAAAGGATTGTGGACATCTAAGTGTAGTATAACTGACTTTGTCAATGTCCTGATTTTTCAGCCTCTTTTGGTCTATGGTTGTAATGCAGATAGCCTATTTTTTTTTTTTTTTTGCAGATAGCCTATTAAATCAGTGTTTGGGAGTGAATTTTTTTTTTGAAGTGAGTGATTTATTCCATTATTACATTTGAGAAACAGATGTGATTTTCCAGCTTGATATCTATATTAGTTCCATATTCTGCCTGTTTGACAGGACATTTTATTTAATTACATCTAATAAAACCTAACAGAGGTTATAATTTAAGAATCTTTCCCCTTGGATCTCATAAAGCATTAAGTATCACTCTTTTAAACCATAATCCTTGTTCTGCTTTATTACCTTAATTAAAAATTATTAGGGCATTATATAGAAAATATTATGAACTCCAGGCAATTAATTTTTCCCTTTAGACTAATTATTTTTTTTTTAAATTTTTATTTATTTATGATAGTCACAGAGAGAGAGAGAAAGGCAGAGACACAGGCAGAGGGAGAAGCAGGCTCCATGCACCGGGAGCCCGACGTGGGATTCGATCCCGGGTCTCCAGGATTGCGCCCTGGGCCAAAGGCAGGCGCCAAACCGCTGCGCCACCCAGGGATCCCCCTTTAGACTAATTAAAAGTTGAAAGGCTTCCTTGATTCTAATAAGCAATAAATCTAATGAATAATACTATATGCTGGGACGCCTGGGTGGCTCAGTGGTTGAGCGTCTGCCTTTGGCTCAGGTTGTGATCTTGGGGTCCTGGGATTGAGTGGCGCATCTGTCTCCCCACAGGGAGCCTGCTTTTCCCTCTGCTTATGCCTCTACCTCTCTCTCTGTGTCTCTCATGAGTAAATAAGTAAAATCTAAAAAAAAAGAATAATACTATATGTCAACTTCTGCCTTTTATTCTATTCTCTTTTAGGTAACAACATCCATTTTATACACCGTGATAGAAATAGATTGGATCACAAACCCATCAACTCTGTTTTACAGCTTGTAGGAGTTCAGCACGTGGACTTCACAAGCAGACCTTCAATTATCCATGTGTGATGGTATAGACACTTGTCACTTTCAAACGGACCCTTGAGATATGACCTGAAATGTTCAGAGTGTGGTATCCTTGTGCAGTGTCTAACTTGTTGGCTTTTGCCAGCCTTTAAGGAGTTATGAAAACATGAAGAGACCATGTACTATTTATTGCATTCTGGGAGGCATTAGTTGTCAAAAATGTGACATATATTTATAATTCTATAGCTTTTAAAATTTTACATAAAAATTTTATTTATATAAAATAAAAGCTATAAAATTAGAAATACCATTCTTTATATTATGGTATATCCATTCAATGAAAGTTTCTATTGGCCATTAAAAAAATAAATTCTAAAAAAAAAAATAAAAAAAAAATAAATAAATTCTTTCAAAGAACATATAAAGGGAAAGGTAAGCAACTCACTACCATTTTACCCAGTGTAAAAAGCAGGATATTTAATTCTGTAAATAATACAATATGTTTATATTTTTGTTTGCTTAAGGAAAAAAATATGGGAAATAAACACACCAGAATATTGTCAGTAGGTACCTCTATGTGGTAGAGGTGTCTTTATTTTCTTTCCATACTTTTATCTCTGAACTGTCCTATAATGAGCATGATTCATTTTTTTGGCTAGGAAAAGTTCTTTAAAAATTATATGAAGAATATATTACTACATAGCAAGCTCCACAAAGTTGCATTTATGTAGGTTGCTGTCCACATGTTTCTATCTTCATTGCTTTACTCAGAGGAAATACAGCAAACCAGACCTTCTGCATAGCCTGTGTTCAAAGCACCTTGTACCAACACACTCACTATCCATTTCTCTAGGATTTTTGCAAGGAGCAGTAAAAGGAGAAAAAAAGTCTTATATATTTTAAAATATGGTTTAGTATATTTTCTGAAAGGATTTTAAGAATTGTTTAAACTGGGATCCCTGGGTGGCGCAGCGGTTTGGCGCCTGCCTTTGGCCCAGGGCGCGATCCTGGAGACCCGGGATCGAATCCCACATCGGGCTCCCGGTGCATGGAGCCTACTTCTCCCTCTGCCTGTGTCTCTGCCTCTCTCTCTCTCTGTGACTATCATAAATAAATAAAAAAAAATTAAAAAAAAAAGAATTGTTTAAACTAAAAAAAAAATTGTAATTTAAATGTATACTGCTTTGATTGCCAGATGGCTTTTATTTAGTGTATTGTTGTCCTCTTTTATTTCTCTAGTAGGTTTAGTTGGGAAATTTCTGAGAAATTCTTTTTTTTTAATTTATTTTTTATTGGTGTTCAATTTGCCAACATATAGAATAACACCCAGTGCTCATCCCATCAAGTGCCCCCCTCAGTGCCCATCACCCAGTCACCCCCACCCCCACCACCTCCCTTTCTACCACCCCTAGTTCGTTTCCCAGAGTTAGGAGTCTCTCATGTTCTGTCTCCCTTTCTGATATTTCCCACTCATTTTTTCCCTTTCCCCTTTATTCCCTTTCACTATTTTTTATATTCCCCAAATGAATGAGACCATATAATGTTTGTCCTTCTCTGATTGACTTACTTCATTCAGCATAATACCCTCCAGTTCCATCCATGTCGAAGCAAATGGTGGGTATTTGTCATTTCTAATGGCTGAGTAATATTCCATGGTATACATAGACCACCATTCATCTTATCCATTCATCTTTCGATGGACACCGAGGCTCCTTCCACAGTTTGGCTATTGTGGACATTGCTGCTAGAAACATCGGGGTAGGGGGATCCCTGGGAGGCTTAGTGGTTTAGAGCATGCCTTTGGCCCAGGGCATGATCCTGGAGACCAGGGATCAAGTCCCACATCAGGCTCCCTGCATGGAACCGGTTTCTCCTTCTGCCTGTGTCTCTGCTCTCTCTCTCTCTCTCTCTCTCTCTCTCTCTCTGCCTCTCTCTCTCTCTCTCTCTCTCTCTCTCTCTCTGTGTGTGTGTGTGTGTGTGTCTCAGGAATAAATAAATAAAATCTTAAAAATAAAAAAAATAAACAAAATCTTTAAAAAATAAATAAATAAAAAGTAAACAGTAAACATCGGGATACAGGTGTCCCGGTGTTTCACTGCATTTGAATCTTTGGGGTAAATCCCCAGCAGTGCAATTGCTGGTTCGTAGGGCAGATCTATTTTTAACTCTTTGAGGAACCTCCACCAATTTTCCAGAGTGGCTACACCAATTCACATTCCCACCAACAGTGCAAGAGGGTTCCCCTTTCTCTGCATCCTCTCCAACATTTGTGGTTTCCTGCCTTGTTAATGTTCCCCATTCTCACTGGTGTGAGGTGGTATCTCATTGTGGTTTGGATTTGTATTTCCCTGATGGCAAGTGATGCGGAGCATTTTCTTTCTGAGAAATTCTGACGAAAATACAGTAAGATCAAACTCTTGGTAATTATTAGCAAGTATATACTGCTTTGAATTTTTATAAGCTTTTATATCAAGCATATGAGGTCACATGCAAAAAATATATTTTAAGTTTCCAAATATTTTAATGTATGTTTGTGTATATACACATAGACAATCGTGTTTTTAATCAATAAAAATGAAATTTCTCATGAAATTTAAAATTAAGCAGTTATGTGCTATTTTTTATACTGAGGAAGCACTGTTGACCCAGATCCCTCTGCTGATTTTAGTCTTAACACTGCTGAATCATAGCTTACACAAAACTTTATATGTTTGTAAATGTATAGCACATTTACCTAAGATACATAAATGTTCTTTGTGTGGCTTCAAGGAGATACAGTTATACAAACATGGTGCAGTGGTTTGCTGACCCAAACAAACATATTTAGTACCAAAATATTTTTTTAAAGATTTTATTTTTTTGAGGGTGAGGAGGAGCAGAGGGAGAGGTACAAGAGCAAATTCTGTGCTGAGCACAGAGCCCAAAGCAGGGTTCAGTCCCACAACCCAGGGATCATGACCTGAGCAGAGACCAAAGTTGGACACCTAACCAGCTGAGCCACCCAGGCATTCCAAAACAAAAATTTCTCATAGGTACTGTGAAATCTATAAACATGCTCTGTACCCAATAATGTACTAGACTCAAAATTTTGAAAAACCGGGATCCCTGGGTGGCGCAGCGGTTTGGCGCCTGCCTTTGGCCCAGGGCGCGATCCTGGAGACCCGGGATCAAATCCCACATTGGGCTCCCGGTGCATGGAGCCTGCTTCTCCCTCTGCCTATGTCTCTGCCTCTCTCTCTCTCTCTGTGTGACTATCATAAAAAAAAAAAATTTTTTTTTGAAAAACCTTCCTAAAGTAAATAAAAGAAATACTAGTAGAAGAATATGATCTAGCACTTTTATGCTAATTATTTATCAAGTAGTATGCCAAGTGTTCTACATACATTAGCTCTATAGAATTGGCATCATCATCATGCCCGTTTCACAGAGAAGAAACATAGTTTTTTTTTTTTTTTTTTTAAACTGCTTTTAATAAGAAGTGAGGAAATCACCAGGGCCAAAAGCAGAAGCAGAAACAAGGCTGATGACCATGCCCTGAAGCCGTGGCCTGCTCTGGAGTTTGTGCTCATCCCAGGAATGTTTCTTCACCAACTCAAAGGCCTTGTGCAGTACAGAGTTAAAACCAAGACTAGTGCATAAACTGTGGCCTGAGACCTATGCCTGAGACCTGGGGCTTCTAAGGGCTACAACTCCATAGACAAAGAGGCCAGTGAGGAAAGTGTTGTAAGACTTCTACAATGAATCACTGAGGCAACAAAAATTTTAATAAGATGAAAGTGCATGTTTAATTTAAAAAGCAAATATTTTTCAAGAAGATTGATAATAAGCTAGTAACCTGCATAAAATGCTTATTTATGTTACCATCTACCACTGGGGCCAGAGTGATAACATGGACCATGTGAAACTGAGAGACAGACTTTGTAAAGAAGCAACATCATCTACTCCAAAGTTCCTAGTTATTTTGAGAAGAGTGTTCCAGAAAATTAATTAAAGATGTGTAGTTGCAGAAGGTACATTTACACATCATTATGTGAAAATTTGGTTTTCATTTATTTATTTAAATAGGCTCCATGCCCAACATAGGGCTTGAACTCATGACCCTGAGATCCAGAGACATGCTCTACTGACTGAGCCAGCCAGGTGCTCCTAGTTTTCATTTAGAACAGAGTTCTTTTAAATTAATTTCGCTCATTTTCTTGTACCCAATAAAAAGTAGAGTGGCAGCTATTCATATACTGGCTCTATTAGCAGAAAATTTTGAAAATAGTTACAAGATGTCAGTTTTATATCAGCATTACATAAATTTGAATGATTACCTATTGTGATAAAAATAATGTTATACTAAATTAAGAAACCTACGGAGCAGAATATACTTGGTATTTGTTTTGATATACATATAATTTGTAATTGTGTCTAAGCTGTTAGTCAAATAGATATTATAGTTGTTAAAATTTAACAAATTTTTAAAACTTTTTATAGTGGTAAAATATACATAAGATAAAAATTTACCATTTTTAAGTGTCCCCAGTTCAGTGACATTAGGTATATTCACAGTATCATGCAACCATCACCACTACCCACCTCCAGAATTTTGTCATATCTTACTGAAACTCTGTACCCATTAAATAATACCTCTCATTGCTCCCTCCTCCTAGCCCCTGCTAATGACAATTCTAAATTTCTGCCTTTATAAATTTGATGACCCCAGGAACCTCATATAAGTGGAGTCATACAATATTTATCCTTTTATGTCTGTGTTGATTTCACTTAGCATAAAGTCCTCAAGTTTCATCAGTGGTGTAGAGCATGCACTTCATTCCTTTTTAAGGCTAAATTATATTTCATTGTATGTATGTACACACATCATCCATCCATCCCTCAATATTGAATGTACACCCTGATAAACAAGTATCTGTTTGATTCCCTGCCCAGGAGTGGAATTGCTGGATAATAGAGGCATTTTGTGTTTAAGGAACCACCATACTATTTGTTTTCCGCAGCAGCAGCCAGACATACATTTTATGTTCCTCCCAGCAGTGTACAAGGGTTCCAATTTCTCTATATCCTCACCGACACTTGTTTCTATTTTCTTAGATATTGATTGATTGATTGTAATCTCTATATCTATCCAGGATGAGGTTTGCACTCACAACCCTGAAATCAAGAGTCACATGCTCTACTGAGCCAGCAGGTGCTCCTTTTTTTTCATAGCAGCCATTCTAATGGGTCTGAAGTGATATCTTATTGCAGTTTTGACAAAATTTACCGATCTATAAACATGTATATACAATAACCTCCCAAAACATTATCTATGAGCAGGTGATGTTGAATAATTGTTTTTTATTTTTAAGCCCCATGTCTGGCATGGAGCCGCATCACAGAATACTGAGATTGAGACCTGAACCGAGATCAAGACTCTGATGTTTAACTGACTAGCCACACAGGCGTCCTCAAATAATTTTTTTAAAGATTTTATTCATTTATTCATAAAAGACACACACACACACACATACACAGAGAGAGAGAGGGAGATAGAGAGAGAGAGAGAGAGAGAGAGGCAGAGACACAGGCAAAGGGAGAAGCAGGCTCCATGCAGGAAGCCCAGCGTGGGACTTGATCCCAGGTCTCCAGGATCACGCCCTGGGCTGAAGGCGCTAAACCACTGAGCCACCCAGGCTGCCCAATAATTTTTTTTTTTTTTTAAAGAAACATGGTACCCTGAACTTTGTTGCCCACTGTTAAGCAGACATTAAAAATGTCTGAAGTATTAAAGAGCAGCTTTTGTAAATCAACCTGCGTTGTCCCCACTGGTAGTGAACATGTTTTTTAAATGGGTCCTATATGTTTTGATTTCTTTAAGTTGGAAATCTTTAATGATTTTAATGAATGGTGTGCCAAAAAAACTCTCATTTTGAAACTTTTAGCAAATAAAAAGCCTTACAAACAGGAAAACATGGAAATCTGACTTTTAAATAAGAAGGAAGCTAAACAGGATAAATAATTGAAAGCTCAAATAGGATAAAATATTTAATTTTGAAATTCTGTAATTTTGCTTTACAGTTTATGATGGAGCTCCTATTTTTAATTGGGTAAATAAATGTGAATTCTGTATCAGAAAATAATGAAATGGGGGTACCTGGGTGGCTCAGTAGTTGAGAGTCTGACTTGTGATTTCACCGCATGTCATGATCTCAGGGCCATGAAATCGAGCTCTGCACCCCATGCTCATGGGGAGTCTGCTTCTCTGTTTCTTTCTCCCCTGACTTGCATGTGAGCGTTCTCTAAAATAAATAAATAATAATTCCTTAAAAAAAAAAGAAATGGAAGGGCACCTGGCTGGCTCACTTGGTAGAGCACACCACTCTTGATCTCAGGATTGTGGGTTTAAGCCCCACATTGGGGGTAGAAATTACTTAAAAAAAAAAAAAAAGAGGGATCCCTGGGTGGCGCAGCGGTTTAGCGCCTGCCTTTGGCCCAGGGCGCGATCCTGGAGACCCGGGATCGAATCCCACGTCGGGCTCCCGGTGCATGGAGCCTGCTTCTCCCTCTGCCTATGTCTCTGCCTCTCTCTCTCTGTGACTATCATAAATAAATAAAAATTAAAAAAAAATGAGCCTTTCACAAAGGGGAGAAGGAAGCCCCTGCCCCTCCCAAAGCTGAAGCCAAAGCAAAGGCTTTGAAAGCTAAGAAAGCAGTGCTGAAAGGCGTGCACAGTCACAAAAAAAAAAAAAAAAAAAAAGATCCGCCTGTCACCTACGTTCCGATGACCCAAGACCCTGCGTCTCCAAAGGCAGCCCAAATATCCTCGAAAGAACGCCCCCAGAAGAAAAAAGCTTGATCACTATGTCATCATCAAGTTCCCCTGACTACTGAGTCAGCCATGAAGAAAATAGAAGACAACAACACACTCCTGTTCACTGTGGATCAAGGCCAATACCCACGAAACCAAACAGGCTGTGAAGAAGCTCTATGACATTGATGTGGCCAAGGTCAACACCTTGATCAGAACTGATGGAGAGAAGAAAGCATATGTTCGACTGGCTCCTGACTATGATGCTCTGGATGTTGCCGACAAAATTGGGATCATCTAAACTGAGTCTAGCCGGCTATAAATCTAAACTTTTTCATCATAAAAAAAAAAATGGGAAAAAGGGGAACAAAATGGCCTGTGATTATGTAGCATCAAAATTTGGTGAAATATTGAAGAGAATTATAAGTGGAGAATTTATATGATGAATTTTATCTTGTAAAAGTTATGTATTGAAGAAAAGTGGAAGCAAGGAAGTGGAGGCAAAAGACAGTATTTGAAAATGTTAGGGCTAGGACACCTGTGGCTCAGTGGTTGAGCGGTTGAGTGTCTGCCTTTGGCTCAGGTCCTGATCCTGGAGTCCTGGGATCAAGTTCCACATGGGGCTCCCCATAGGAGCCTGCTTCTCCTTCTGCCTGTGTCTCTGCCTCTCTCTCTCTCTCTCTCTCTGCCTCTCATGAATAAATAAAATCTTTTTAAAAATGTTAGGGCTGAATGTTTTTTAATATAAAAAAATGGACTTGAAAGTGTCCTCCATTTTTAAAAAATATTTTATTTATTAGA